TCTTTTTTTCTCTGAAATTTGTAAGCTTTACTATTATATGTCAGAGTGTTGCTCTATTTTTATTGATTTTGGGAGGGGTCCTTTCTACCTATTGAATATGAATGCCTACTTGCTTCCCCAGACTAGGGAAGTTCTCAGCTATGATTTGCTCAAGTATACCTCTGGCCCTCTGTCTCTCTATATCTCTCTGCACTCTCATAAATTCCAATAATTCAGATTTTTTTCATACCATCAGTTATCTCTCAGAGCCTCTCCTCATGGGTTATTGTTTTTCTCTCTTTTCCTCAGTTTACTTCCTTTTGATCAACTTGTCTTCTATGTCACTTATTCTCTCTTCTTCTCATTTACCCTGTTAGAGCATTCATTTTAGACTGCATCTAAGAGTATATTTAATCTCAGTATGATTAGATCTCATTTCTGGGTGAAAAGATTCTCTACAGTATTTTATGATTTTTTTCTTTTTTTGTATGTTTTTTATTGGAGTTCATTTTGCCAACATATAGTATAACACCCAGTGCTCTTCTCATTAAGTGTTTTATAATTTTTTTCTTTTTTAAAAAGATTTTATTTTATTATTTATTCATGAGAGAAACAGAGAGAGAGAGAGGCAGAGACACAGGCAGAGGGAGAAGCAGGCTCCACGCAGGGAGCCTGATGTGGGACTTGATCCTGGGACTCCAGGATCATGCCCTGGGCCAAAGGCAGGCGCCAAACCACTGAGCTTCCCAGGGATCCCCCTATGATTTTTTTTCAAGCCCAACCTGTAACTAAAATTGTTATGAACTCCATCTCCGACATTTTACTCAACTCCATATCCATTAGGTCTGATTCTTTTGTTGTCTAGTCATTTTGTCTAATGAAGAATGACTGTATGAGTGAACATAATAAAAAATATCAACCACACCCTAAGCAAAATGCACACTAGATAAATCTGAAGAGGTAAGGAACAGGAAAATAAAAAAGACAAAGACAAAGATAAAACAAAAAAAGAAAGAAGAAGAAGAAGAAAGAAAGAAAGAAAGAAAGAAGAAGAATAAGAAGAAGAAGAAGAAGAAGAAGAAGGAAGAAGAAGAAGAAGAAGAAGAAGAAGAAGAAGAAGAAGAAGAAGAAGAAGAAAGAAGAAGAAGAAGAAGAAGAAGAAGAAGAAGAAGAAGAAGAAGAAGAAAGAAGAAGGAGAAGGAGGAGAAGGAGAAGGAGAAGGAGAAGAAGAAGAAGAAGAAGAAGGAAGAAGAAGAAAAAGAAGAAGAAGAAGAGGAAGAAGGAGAAACTTCAGGGGGCAGGATATAATCTCACAGAATGGACAAAACAGGGTGATCCAGTTGGTCCTGAATATATTTTGGTCTCTGTGTTAGAAGATACTAAAATTCAAAATTATAAAGGAAGCAAAAAACTGTATATATACAAAAATAAAATTGAATACAGTGAAAGGGAGGGGGCACTTGGCGGGATGAGCCCTGGGGGTTACGCTATATGTTGGCAAATTGAACTCCAATAAAAAAAATTTTTTAATGAATACAGTGAAAGAAGCCAAAAACGAAGAATATATCCATAACATGTAATTGTAAAATATAAAAGTTTTTTAAAAAAACTTAAAAACAAAAAGTTGATAAGAAACTAGTTGAAAAGGGAAAAGAAAGTGGAATATTTTTAACTGAAAGGTAAACAAATTATAAGAAAAAAAACCTCAAGTTCTATATACTATTTCCCCCTAGCCATGGAGTTTTACAGTCCTTTTTGGTCAGTAAACTTGCTTTGCGTCTATTCTTCCAGCTGGTTCTCTGGGGAAGGGGCCTGCTGCACTGATTCTCAGGTGCGTGTGCCTGGGTAGAGTTGCACCACTCCTTGCCAGGGGGCCGGGCTCAGTGTTTTTGTTGTTGTTGTTGTTGTTGTTGTTGTTGTTGTTGTTGCGTATGGCTTTTGTCCCCTGAAGGCTTTCTGTGCCTCTTTAGAGGATGAAAATAAAAATAGCTGCACCCGATCTAGACTCAGAACTACAAGATTGGAGTGTGTGCCAAACTCTGCAGATTCCTGTTGACCACCCACCCAGATCCTACCTGAGAGAAGGCAGAGGAACACTGATTTGTGCAATTTGCAGGGCTCTGGTAAGGAGAGCTTTTGCCCCCTCGTGCAAAGACCCACTCAGCCCCTCCTTGAGGAAGCAGAGGGTCATCTCCTTTCTGTCCATTGCAGGGCCCTGGCACCAAGAGCATTCATCTGATGAAGTATGTACCACTCCAACACTCCTGGAAAAGGCAGAGTGTTGATGCACTGCAGTCCTTTGCAGGGACCCAACACTGAGAGTGGTCACTCAATCCCCTACATAACAGTTTGTGATTTATGGAAAAACATGCTGAGAGCCCCCTCCCAGCTAGCTAACCTAAATTCATTTCCTGCTCCAGTGCTTGGAAACTATGCTGGATCAGGCACCCCTGTTCTTTCTGTGGCTCCTGGGATATTGAGACCCCACTGTCCCACCTGCAATTCTGCCCCACTTCACCACTGAACACCCTTCAGGCAGGGAAATCTCTCACAGGAGATTTCTATAGGTCCTGATTTTGAGCTCCAGGGCTGCATCACTTTTCTGTGGCAGCTTACAAAGGCTCTCTCTCCCCTTTCTCTTCTCCTCAGTCCTACCTTACAAAAAGTGGGCACTTTTCTATTTGTAGAGTTCCAGCCATTCTTTCCTTACATCTCAAGTTGAATTCATATGTGTTCAAGATAGCTTGATAGTTATCTAGCTAAATTGAGGGGACTAGCTGAAATGAGGACCCCTACTCTTCCACCATCTTGGCTCTTCCTCATGTTAACTGGAATTTAAATAAAAACTTGGGAAAGGGATCCCTGGGTGGCGCAGCGGTTTGGTGCCTGCCTTTGGCCCAGGGCGCGATCCTGGAGACCCGGGATCGAATCCCATATCGGGCTCCCGGTGCATGGAGCCTGCTTCTCCCTCTGCCTATGTCTCTGCCTCTCTCTCTGTGTGTGACTATCATAAATAAATAAATTTAAAAAAAATTTAAAACTTGGGAAAGAAGAAGCCTAGGAGCACCTGGATGGTTCAGTTGGTTAAGCATCTGACTCTTATTCTAAGCTTAGCTCTTGATCTCAGTGTTAGGAGTTCAAGCCCCATGGTGGTCTCCATTGCTGGGCATGGAGCCTACTTTAAGAAAAAAGCCCCAAAAGTAACTGATGTTAATCAGCATCAATTTAGCAGTATCTACTACTATTTTTAGATACTCATGTCCTTTTTTTATTTTAAAGATTTTTATTTATTTATTCATTCATGAGAGACACAGGGAGAGAGAGAGAGAGAGAGAGAGAGAGAGAGAGAGGCAGAGACACAGGAAGCAGGCTCCATGCAGGGAGCCCGACATGGGACTCAATCCCACCAGGATCAGGCCCTGGGCTGAAGGTGGCGCTAAACTGCTGAGCCATGCAGGCTGCCCTAGATATTCATGTCCTTGACCTAAATAATTTCATTTCTCAGTACCCACAGAAATATTTATACATGCACAAAAATATGTCTAAAGGTGGTCATTTATTCTGCATTTTTTAAATACTAAAGAAATGGAAATGCCCTTAACATTCACCAATAGATGGGAATCTAAAAATATAATCATCTATCTATGGAATAAAACACAACTTTTGCAAGAGGATTTTCTAGGGCACTGTTAAATGAATAATTTATTATGTAAAAATCATATAAGTGATATATGTATGCAAATGCATAGAAAACAGCCTGTTGACATACACACCTTGTACTGCATTAGTGTCTCACAAAAATTCATGTCTTTCTGGAACTCTAAAATGTGAACTGATATGGAAACAGAGTCTTCACAGATATAATCAGCTAAGTAAAAATGAGGTCACAGTGGATTAGGGTGGGCCCTAAATGCAATGATTGGTATACAAAGGTCATATGAAGACCTACAGGAAAAAGGCCATGTGAAGATGGAGACATGGTGTGACATTAGGTACCAGTCAATGAATGGCAAGGCCTACTGGCAACCACAAGAAATTAGGAGAGAAGCATGGAACCTCCCTCAGAGGTGCCGAAAGGAACCAACTTTGCCAATACTTTACTTTGAACTTCTAGCTTTCTGAACTGTAAGAGAGAAAAAATCCTGTGGTTTTAAGCCATTCATTTTGTGATAACTTGTTATGGTAGTTCTAGGAAGCTAATTATATACCTGTTTAACAATGGTTTGCTCTAAGGAAGAGATTCTGTGTATTTCTATATGCTTGAACATTTTACATTGAGAGTTTATTATTGCATTGCTAACTTTTTGCCAACAAAAATAAATTATCCACATTTTATGTTGGAAGTTTTGACTCTGCCATTTATCAAGTATGAAATCTTGAGCAAGTCATTAAACATCTGAATGTTTCAATTTCTTCTTTTGTAAAATGGGGATAGTAATGTCTACCCTCCTCACCTTCCTGGTTGGTACTGGAGTCCTGCCTGGGCCCTTTTTCTCTCGCTGTCCACATACATTCTTTCTCCAAAATGGCTCTAGTGACTATGAACACCTTTCCATTCACAGTACCATCTCTGTCTCTAATTCATGTCACCAGCCCCCAACAGATTCATTTTGCCAAAAGCACCATATGTTCCTTTCCTCTTTGAACCCCTTCAACACTTCTTCATTACCTATTAAATTAGATCCAAACTTCTTACTTGTTTAAGACCTTCTCCATTCTGAGCGCCACCTACCCACCAGCCTTATCAGTCTCCACTGTTTCCTTGGTAGAGGGAAGCCAGGTTTGTGGATAATCTTTGAATCTTGAACCTTGCCTTTTTAAGCTATGCCATTGTGTATGCTTACTCGTGTGAATGGATTATCCTCCATCCTATCTCTCTTTCCATCCACAATAGAAATATTTTACTGTCCTTTGAATTTCTGTAGCATTTTCTGTCTTTAAATTCTGTAGACCTTAAGTTTCTTAATGTATTTAATCACACTCCCCCCCCCCATTAAACTGCAAACTCCTTCTGAGAAAAAGACCTTTATTCACTCTGGTGCCTAGCACACCATCTTATGGAGAGAAGGTGATCAATACATATTTGTCAAATAAATGAATAACAATTAAAAAACACTTGACTTTCGCAGAACTGATATGGGTTCTAAAATTGTTTTAAATCATAAACAAATGTAATATCCTGCCAGTACATACCAGGACAGTCACGCTAGCTGTAAAATACAGAAATACATCCCTACCACTGCCCCTTGCCACCTGAGAGCCTCCCACTACCACTGTTGGCCTGGTTTCTCCTCCTCCAAGGGGCGTGTGGACTCTTGCACTCCCCTAACTAAAGAACTGATGCCTTCCACAGCAGGCAGCATTCAGGTCCCTGCTCCAGCCATATGGCCGGGGTCCACAGGTGGAAGTCTCCATTCTGGCCAATCAAGACCCATGCAAAGTCACTGTCGAATATTTGATAATTACCCCTGATTATATGTAAAGTTTACACAATTTGAAAAATGAGGTTTCTTCTCACTGCAAAATCTCTTGAAAGAGTCAGCAAATCCAGGGATAGAAAGGAAAATGAAACTTTGTCAGTCTCTGAAGGTCTAGGGTACATCCATTAGGACTCAATCTTCATGTAAACCAGAAGGTAAGCAGTTTCCCGCCTAGAAAGAAAAAAAAATGCATCAACATAACAGAGATGAATCATTTATAGTCAATGGATCCATTTATTAATTCATGATGGCACAAGCATCAGAAAAGTTTCTGGTTGCTGGATCAAGTCTTCATCTATCCAATACCTCAGAGGGGGAAAATGGATAACTTGAAAAAATAGCCACTAATCTTCTACTAGTTGACATCTCTATCAGGGGTTGACAAACCAACAGCCCACAAGCCAAATATCACCATGTTTCTGCGAATGAATTTAGCTGTAACACAGCCACACCCATTCATTGAGGTATTGTCTGTGGCTGCTTCTTGCTACAGGTTAGAGTTGAGGACTTGCAACAGAGACTTTATGGCCCACACAGCTTTATTTACTCTCTGGCCATTTACAGAAAAAGTTTGCCAAACACTGATCTAAATAAAGGGAGAATTGATCACAGACAACCAGAAAGTGACAGAGAATGGGCATCTAAGGAAGATGTTCAGAAGAAAGAAAAGATAAAAACCAGAAGACTATAAGAGGATTTCAAAAACAAATTTCATCTACTTCATTATTTTTCACATAATCAGGCCTACTCCTGCTCCTGAAATCATTTCAAATATCACCTCTGGTATACAATGTCACTGCTAACCCAGAAACTCAACTTAAAAAAAAAAACTTACAAAGTCTCCCTGTTTTAACCTCATCCAGGAGGAGAGAGGTAAGATGGCGGAGGAATAGGGGACCCTAATTTTGCCTGGTCCCTGGAATTCATCTAGATAGCTATCAAATCATTATGAACATCTGCAAATTCAACTGGAGATCTAAGAAAAGAATTGCTGCAAATGTACAAATACAAAAATGACCACTTTTTGCAAGGTAGGAGGTGTAGAGAAGTGAATCTGAGGTGATATATCAGAAGATAAATCCTGTAAGACAATACTGGAGAGTGATAATAGCAGCAGAGTGCAAAATTGGAACCTTTAGAAGTCTGCTCTGGTGAAGGACGTCCCTGCCTGCAAGGTGCTCAGGTGGCGAAGGAGGGCAGAATCCTAGGTGGAACAGTGTGTCTCAGGATCCCCAGGGCCACAAAAAGAACGGGGGTGCCTGAGCGCAAAAGAGTTCCCAAGCATTGGAGCAGGGAACCCAGCTGCCAACAGTGAGCCCAAGGAGTGGGTTTTCTGTTTGGTGTTGCCATAAATCATGAAGTGTTGCACGGCTGGGTGACTACTCTCCAAGGAGGGGCCCAGCAAGAGGCAGAACAGCAGCAAGACCACGCTCCATGACATGGGAGAAGCAGTGCAGGTGCATGCCACTGCAAGAGTTTGTAAAGTTGGAGACTCAAAACAAGGTCTCATGCCTGAGATAAAATGTTCCATCACAGGCTGGGTGAGCTTGGAGTGTGGAAGGAAACCAGGGAGACAAGAGTGATTAACTGTTTTACCCTGAGGGCACACTAAGGAGTGGGGGACATGAGCTTTCAGCTCCAAGACTGGAAATTTGGGCACCAGAATTTTTATTTTCATCCCTCAAATTGGTGCTCAAAGCCTTCAGGGAACAAAAGCCACAGAGAACAATTGAGAGCTGATTATACTGAGCATGGCCCCCTTGGCAAAGGGAGCGCAATACTGCCCAAGCAAAGACACGAGAATCAATGCAACAGGCTCTAGAATATTAGTAAGAACATCTAGATAATACCAAGTTTACTGATCATAGAGAACTGCAAAATTCCAGCACTAGGCATGTTTCTTTCTCATGATTCTTTAGTTTTTCATTTAAATTTTTTTCCATTCCAACTTATTTTTTATTTTAGCAACTCCTTTTTTAATTTATGTTTTATATATCTATTTTTAATTTTTGGCTTCCTTTCACTGTATTCAATTTTATTTTTGTATACACATAAGTTTTTCTTTCTTTACAATTCTGGGATTTAGTTTTTCTAATAGATCAAAATACATGCAGGATCTAATTTATTGCTCTGTTTTGTTCACCTTCTGTGTGATTTTATTCCTTTTTTTCTTCTTTTCTGTAGCTTCTTAGTTGATCTCTTCTTAGTTGTTTAGTGTATATCTTTCTGGATTGTTGCCATTTTTATCCTTTTTGCTCTCTTTCATCTATTCTTCTCCAGACACAATGACAAAAGAGAACTCAACCAAAAAAAAAAGAGAGAGAACAAGAGCTAAGGACTGATTCAGTATGGATAGAAGTAAGATGTCAGAACTAGAATTCAAGACAATGACTACAAAAATACCAGCAGGACTTGAAAAAAGCATAGAAGACAATGGAGAACCCCTTTCTGGAGAAACAAAACAACTAAATACTAATCAGGTTGAAATAAAAAAGATATAACTGAGATGTGATTTTTTTTAAAATGGAGGCTCTAACTGCTAGGATAAAGGAGGCAGAAGAGAAAGTCACTGATACAGAAAAAAATGATGGAAAATTTAATAAATGAGAAAAAGAGAGAGAAATAACTACTGGATCATGAAGGGTAGAATTCAAGAGATAAGTAACACCACAAAGTGAAATAATATGAGAATACTTGGCATGCCAGAGAAAGAAGAAAGAGGGAGGGCAGACAGTTTATTTGAGCAAAATTATAGCTGAGAACTTCTCTAATCTAGAGAAGGAAACAAGTATTCTGCAGGAGACAGAGAGAACCAAAATCAATAAAAACAGATCAACACCTCGAAATACAATACTGAAGCTTGAATATTTCAAAGACAAACGGAAACTCTTGAAAGCAGCTCAGGACAAAACGTCCTTAATCTACAAGGATAGAAACATAAGGCTGACAGCAGACTTATCCACAGAGACCTGGCAAGCCAGAAAGGACTGGCATGATAAATTCAACATGCTAAATGGGAAAAATATGCAGCTGAGAATACTTTATCCAGCAAGGCTGTCATTCAGAATACAAGGAGAGGTAAAGATTTTGCAGGACAAACATATGCTAAAAGAATTTGGATCACTAAACCAGTCTTGCAAGAAATATTAAAGGGGGGATCCCTGGGTGGCGCAGCGGTTTGGCGCCTGCCTTTGGCCCAGGGCGCGATCCTGGAGACCCGGGATCGAGTCCCACGTCGGGCTCCCGGTGCATGGAGCCCGCTTCTCCCTCTGCCTGTGTCTCTGCCTCTCTCTCTCTCTCTCTCTCTCTCTCTGTGACTATCACAAATAAATAAAAAAAAAAAGAAATATTAAAGGGGATCCTTTCAGAAAGAGAGAGCCTAAAAGTAACACAGATCAGAAAGGAACAGAAACAATCTACAGAAACAGCAATTTTACAGGTAATACAATGGCACTAAATTGTGGAAGGAGACTTGGTGTCCATTGAAAGATGAATGGATAAAGATGTGGTATATGTATACAATGGAATATTACTCAGCCATTAGAAACGACAAATACCCACCATTTGCTTCAACGTGGATGGAACTGGAGGGTTATACTAAGTGAAATACGTCAATCGGAGAAAGACAAACATTATAGGGTCTCATTCATTCGGGGAATATAAAAAATAGCTAAAGGGAATAAAGGGGAAAGGAGATAAAATGAATGGTTAATGTTAGAGAGGGAGACCGAATATGAGAGACTCCTAACTCTGAGAAACGAACAAGGGGTGGTGGAAAGGGAGGTGGGCGGGGGGTGGGGGTGACTAGGTGATGGGCACTGACGGGGGCACTTGATGGGATGAGCACTGGGTGTTATGCCATATGTTGGCAAATTGAACTCCAATAAAATGAAATAAAAAAAACAATGGCACTAAATTTATGTCTTTCAATAATTAATCTGAATAGAAGTGGACTAAATGTTCCACCAAAAGACATAGGATATCAGATTGGGTTAAAAAAATATCAGAAAGGGACACAGAACATAAAAACTTCTAACTCTGGGAAATGAACTAGGGGTGGTGGAAGGGGAGGAGGGCGGGGGGTGGGGGTGAATGGGTGACGGGCATGGAGGGGGACACTTGACGGGATGAGCACTGGGTGTTATTCTGTATGTTGGTAAATTGAACACCAATAAAAATTAATTTATAAAAATAAAAAAATAAATAAATAAATAAAATAAAATAAAATAAAAATAAAAAAATAAAACAAGCAAGATCCGTTCATATGCTGTGTGTAAAAGACACATTTTAGATCCAAAGGCACCTCCGGGAGGAGGTGGCAAGATGGTGGAAGAGTAGGATTCTCCAAGTCACCTGTCCCCACCAAATTACCTAGACAACTTTCAAATCATTCAGAAAACCTACGAATTCAACCTGAGATCTAAAGAGAGAGCAGCTAGAATGCTACAGTGAGAAGAGTCTGCCCCTCTATCAAGTACAACTTGTTTTGGGCCACTCGCACTGAGCAAAATAACTAGAAAGAAAAATTCACCTCAAAAGAAAGAATCAGAAACAGTCTTCTCTCCAACAGAGTTACAAAATTTGGATTACAATTCAATGTCAGAAAACCAATTCAGAAGCACTATTATAAAGCTACTGGTGGCTCTATAAAAAAGCATAAGGATTCAAGAGACTACATGACTGCAGAATTTAGATCTAATCAGGCATAAATTAAAAATCAATTAAATGAGATGCAATCCAGGGATCCCTGGGTGGCGCAGCAGTTTAGCACCTGCCTTTGGCTCAGGGCGCGATCCTGGAGACCCAGGATCGAATCCCAGTGCATGGAGCCTGCTTCTCCCTCTGCCTATGTCTCTGCCTCTCTCTCTCTCTTTCTCTCTCTGTGTGACTATAGTAAATAAATGAAAAAAAATTTAAAAAGTGAGATGCAATGCAAACTAGAGGTCCTAATGATGAGGGTTAACGAGGTAGAAGAACGAGTGAGTGACATAGAGGACAAGTTGGTGTCAAGGAGGGAAACTGAGGAAAAAAGAAAAACAATGAAAAGATCATGAGGATAGGTTAAGGGAAATAAATGACAGCCTCAGAAGGAAAAATCTATGTTTAATTGGGGTTCCCCTGGCACAAAAACAGACACATAGATCAATGGAACAGAATAGAGAACCCAGAAG